AGCATACGTGTAGTACATACAGTAAGACCATCCATGAGGCTGCTCCACCACCTTAGAGGGGATTTATCTTTCCTTGCACAATCAGCTTTCTCCTCTAAACCAGTTAAAGATTGGAATATGCTCCCAAAGAATTTAAAACGTTTGCAGAGTTTCATTCATTATCTTATTAGAACTGCTTCGTGTTTGTGTATAAATTTATATGTAGATGATGAATTTTGATATTTGATGTTTTGACATTTGTTATTGTCTGTGTGTGTCAGTGGTGTGTGTGTGTGGTCTGCAGGAAAACTAGGAAACATCTTTCCTGGCCTGAATAACACAGACAGTCCCAGCTTATCAGATAACAGCATATCTAAGCTGATAAAAACAAAAAGAGCTGACAGGAGATTCTCTTCAAGTTCTGCTTTGAACATTTCAATCTAAATTTCAACTTCAGGTGGATCATCGTCCTCGGCTCGCTCTCGTATTGAGGATATTTGAGGGTGTGGGAGTTTGTAGAGCCAGTCTGTGTTTGTTCTGTGAGCTCGTCGGTACGACTGTAGTCTTTATGCTAGCATTGAGTCAGACAGCACGAGGTGATCTCAGGCAGTTTGCTGCAGTTCGGCTCTTTTAGGTATCTTCTTCCTGTCGTATGATGGTGTTTGTCTCTCCATGATCAGGCGCTGACCTACAGGCTTTTTATTGATTGACCTTCCTTGACTACTTTAAGCTCCACATCAGAAATGTTCAAATCCATACAAAGTTTTCCATCATAGCATGTCAGTTAGCCCTCCTTCACTAACTCTCCAAAAGTTACTGATATTGAGTTTTATTCCTTATGTTCGAGGTTACAGCTGAGCTGGAGTCTGTTACAAACAAATATGTTTGAAATTCAGTGTCTAACACTGTTTATTAGGGACACTTTTATCATCGCGTGGCAGATTGATGCGTTTCCCTTACAGAAAAAAAAATTCCACTCTAAATTTAACCTGAAAAGATGCATGAAAAGTCACCAGAAGGAAATGACATTTTAAATTTCCTGCGAGTGGACCACCAGAGTCTCGACCTCCTGCGACCTCCCAAATTTTAATTAAATCCT